CCAATCATGTTAATTTAACCTGGACAATTCTGAATCTACTGATGCCATAAGATTTTCTGACCTCTTATTCAACTGCCCATGGTCAGTGCATTTGATCAAAATCAACTCTCACAAGAAAATCGCCTAGCCGAATCAAATGGGATATGTGAATTGACATGATCAGAGGGTGAGAGGAGCGGCATAACTGAGGTGTGTTCGCACTTCGAGTGTGCGTATAAGTAAAGAAGAAGGTTCTTCGCTCGCCGGAATTATGGCTTTATTCGTCCGAGCTCGTGTCCGAGCTCTTACTGGACTCTATCGCTAGCGATAAAAGTAGCAACAAAAACCAAGCCGCAGTTATAAGGCGCTAGGGAGAGAGCGGGCTTTTGAAACGTAGCCGCCATTTTTTCAGCTCTTTATTCCCATGTAAATTCTCCTATATGTACATCGGATGGCCTATTACGCCCATAAAAAAACTGAGTTTTTCTCCTCTTTGTTTATTCAAATTACAACATTGAGGTCATTAGCGCATGACACTAGCACCAATTTGAAAGAAGTCCAATTTCGCCTAAAGTGTACGACTCATTCAAGGACGATTTTTCGTTATTTTGGTAACTGCAGTCTTCAATCATTATGCATTGTCTGTGGTCTCCTGGTGTTACTTGGTTTGTTTGGTTTGGTTACTAACGGCGAAAGGAAGCGCATCTCTTAAAAAACGGGGGCTTATGTCTGGAGGTGATTATGCAGGGCTCTGTATGCCGGTGCCAAATCGATATGTCGATTGAGTAAGTCCTCGTCGGAGGACGGGACTTCAATCAATTTGCGGCATATCTTGCTTCTAGCGCGGGTGATCATCTTTGTGGCTGCAAAGTTGACCTCCTAATCCGTTTCGCAGGTGTGGGCAGTCGCTTGTGATAATCCCTCGCCCCATCTTACGGCCAGCTCATGCTTGTGTATGTGCGAGCCAAGTATGCGGCTAGTCTGTCCTGTGTAGTTTCGAGGGCGGTTTAGACGCGGTATGCGATACACTACAGCTGGTTGCTCACTAGCCATCTGTCGTCGGTCATTGATTTTAATAACTATGCTGCGCATCGAAGCCATGGGCCGGTGGCATAGTTCACCGGGTACAAAGCTACCGCAGTCGTGCTTACGATTGCACATTGGGGAAAATTAATATGTCATTAAGGCTGCATAGCTCACCGCTTTTAGCCCGTTCATTTTTTTAAAAGAAAACAATGGTTTATTTAATAATCGGCATGCAGTCAATATTGCAACACCTACCTCACCAATGCCTCGAAAGCGCGGTCTATATTTTCACCGGTTTTTGCACTTATTTGGAAGAAGAGGGCGTCATATTCCTAAAAAGTATGGCACAACCGAGGAAAAGGTGGAAAATACAATAAATTAGTTTTTTTGATAAGTCCTAGGTTTTTAATGGTCCAACGAGTATATGCAAAGTATAAAATTGAAATATTTGGGGTAAATTAATCTCATTACAAAAAGTCATCTTTTGAGCTCTCAATTACAAAAAGAGTTTTTTAGCATAGTTAAATTCCGTTTAAAGGTTGTTTAAACAAGTTTTTTAAAGGTCCACCACAAAGGTAGTATATGGTAAAAAACTTGAAGTGTGCCCAGTGTGAATAAATGGAAGCTCAACATTAAAAGTAGCTAATTGAAAGGTTTAATTATCTTCTTACTAGTGTAGTATGGTTATGAATAAATTGCTGTCTTCTTTAAAAGGAATGACCTCTACTTTTTACTCATGCTAGGAGAGCTATTATGAAAGAACTAATAAATACGAGACTGAAAAACGAGCTCGTAGTTTAACAATTAGGGCGTTGGACTTCTAACTAACAGGTCGCGGATCGACCCCTGGATTTGGCAAATAAAATTTGGGAATGGTTATGGCTGGCTGATGACGGCCAATAAGCCAGAAGTGGCCATTTCAGTCTCCCTTGTTTTTGACGGTAATTCCTCTCTGCCTATAATATGCTAACAATTGAGCGGCTGCTGGCCCACTTGAGAACGAGCCCGAGGCACGACAGGATGAGCGATATCCATAACCGGCCGATGGGCCCTTACCTAACATATTATAAATTCTCAATTGAAAATCG